TTTGGTTTGTATGTGCTCTGTGTAATACATAACAAGATAGTATACGAGTTGATAAAAAGCACATACCATTTAAGGCGAACAATAAAACTGTGACCACAGCATAGTCATGTTACATGAATGAATACTAATGCTAATCACTTCAAGTAATTGCCGTTGTAATTGCACGTCACACTAATGTATACATAGAGGCATGAATGAAACATGAGCGAGCGAGCGCATGCACACACGCATCAAATATCAAAGCTTCTGCGCAAGCGCCTTCTACTTTAACTGCAAACTGAATAATTTATGCGCGCACTTTGTTATAGCACATACTGTTCCGGTTATCAGTCATATAATTTCGAAGAATAATTGATAGGTTCTACCCAGTATTTTGTACCCTTCAGTTTCCACATACGTGTGCCATAACTTAGCACGAAACTGTCATTCTAGCATAATCAATAAAACTATAGTTTGTCTAAGTTTTACATAATACCATCACAATTACGGCATGATACATTGCGGCATCTGCGAAGCATCTGGCACTATAGGCGCTTTAGTTATTTCCCAGTTTAATATACTGAAACATGCTCTCTGGTTAGTATTGAAAAAGTTCATTAGCTTCACCATCTTCTAGCTAGTAATGTGATGCCGCTGAGAAAGCAATGTATGCTAGGCACTTGTAAATACACGCAGTTATTATTGCTTACTATCTTTAATGCTAAGTGTAAAGAATGCATAAGATGTACGATTAATACAAAAAATGCTAAATGCACATCTGCAGTATGCACATATGCGAAGGGTACCAGTTAGGCCACAATGAAAAACATTCACGCACTGCAGGTTGGTCCGTATTTAGGATAATTAGTCAATGCCTGGAGCTGTCATAGCACATGCGTAGCGTTCGAAATACCTACCGAGGGTTGTAAAAAAAAGCCATTTTTAAGCCCTACTGAAAACATTGCGAATTATTTGGAGCACACTAGCATATGGCATAGTCTAATATTATTTCCTGTTTTATTAGTGTGCAGAGACTTCGAACGTTCAAACGTAGCTCGCAGCCAGCAAAAAATGTGCAAGTAAGCTTACACGTTTGACCCTAAAGATATTCACGTCAGCTACAGGGCTCTCTAATGTTTCTTTTTTTGTCTGAAACAATAAAAATTACTTTTCATAACTTATCAAGACGTAGATGCAAACAGTGTACGGTTTTTTGGCAGTGTTTATGTCACTATATGTTTGTTTTCCTTATCTATTCCCGTTTCAAACAGGTGGGCCTCTCAGAGTCATCTTGTCCTTCTCAGCTATCACAAATACATGGTACCTGCTACGGACGGAAATAAAGCCAGAGCGAAAAGCGCTCGGATTTATGGCTGGCTTGAAAGTCATCATGGCATTCTGGGTTGTACTCGGCCATGCCTACATACTTGTACCAACTGGATTCTTTCGTGAGTGAATTTTTGCTGGCAGGCGAGAGCCGTGAGCAATGTATAGTAATATCCACCGGTAAACTAAAATGTCTGGAACATGCACTTTATTTTGAGCGCAACTGTGTTTGGCACTGTCATGTTTTTTTTGGGATGACATTATACTATACGAAAAGTATATATAGAGCACTCAGAAGATAGGTAACTTTTTTGACACAAATTAACCGCGCGCTTGAATGAAAAGTAATGCCAATTGCGATGTGCCATTTAACACTTATTTCTTATGAAGCTAAGGCACTGTCACTACATCGCGGTTTTTTCACACGAAAAGTAGCTGTGGTTTATATTACCACAAAAAAAGGTGAGCAGTGTATTAGCATACCTTCCATTGGCCTACATTATAGCGAGCTTGTTTTCATATATAGTACAGTACCTCAAAATTCCTTGTCTTAGAAACTACAGTTGGTCTGTTTTCGGCTTTTTTTTTCATATTAAAAAGTGCAATGGTGGCTTCTTGTATCTTTGTTTTGCTGTAATGAGGTCATGTGGGGTTAGGGGAGTAGTAGTCGTTTTCTTTGATGTGCTTTTAATAAACATTCAGTCATGAGCCAGTGCTATGGTTTGTTTTCCTATTCTCTCTCGCATACACGTCGACCGTCGTGGCACTGTTTCAAAGATATACTAGCCAGTTGATTTCGAAGCTGCTAATTATTCAAACTTATGCCACGTATTATGAGGACAAGCTTCAAAATCTATTCATCTTACGAAGCTTGTCCTGAAAAGTGGGGAGATTAGAAGTGGTGCGGCGTCACGTTGTGGTGAATTTTATCTTTCGAACCTTTATATTTACCCGACAAGTGTTGTCCTGCTCTAATGCTCGAAAAATTTAGAGTTTTCGGATTTTTTCAGTGCACGCCCCCAAAGAAGTTTACTTTGCATAATGTACTTTAATTTCGCAGTCACTAAATCACAAATTTTTGCGCACGTCCTACAGGATCTCTCAACGCCCAAAGATCTTGATGTAGCATGTTCAGGTAGCTTAGGAAATAGATTAGAAAACTAGAACAGCTTTTGTGGGACCTTTGGCACAATAAGTGATGGTCTTACTAAAGTGACTCATACGATTGCGTTTATATACAAATAGCATGCACCATATACGTCGCTTCAAAAAGTGGGTAGCACAACTCATTCTTTCCTTTGTGTACGAAGTTTAACATGTAGTACATGCTTAGGTGCCTTAATTCACATCTATTATTCAGAAAGACACCTAACTCTGAATCTCTCTTTGTGACCTCGAGATTCATGCATACGAAGTTGATGAGCAGCGTTTTGAACTTTGTAGTGATTTTTTTCTGAGTGCTCTTCAAGCGTGCTCGGCCTGATACAAAGTACAAACCAGCGAAGTAAAGCGTCCTAGCTCATCTCTAACTCATCCGTTGGTTTACTTGCGTTTGTTTGAAAACTGGGCCATAAAGTTAGAGCAGGCTGCAGGACAAAGGTACAACAGAGAGAGAGAGAAAGACACTTTATTTGCGCATAACGCGGTGCATTCTAAATGGTTGGGCCCCTACTCCAGGGCTCCGCTGGCCCTATCCATAATCTCTACCCGTTGGACCAGCCAACAGAATCTGGATTCTTGAATATGCGAAGCCACATTTCTCATTTCTTTGATTCGGAAAAGTAAGCAGCGCTGTTAAAACTGCTGCGTTATAGATACGCATGCAAATAGGAAATACGACGAACATAAGACCGCCTTATCAGAATCATCGAATGTGCCCTCTATGAGTGAGTGTCATGGCAATAACTGACAGGTTACGGTGATTGCCCTGCGCCTCGCGTGCAGCACTGCCAAAGTAGATGCTGATGAGCTAAAGAGAATATCCTAGTGATGCGGAGCCATTAAAAGGTGGCTTAGTTACAGGTGTTGGCTTTGAAAAAGCTAAGCAAATATTTATTCACGAAAAAAGAAGTCCCCAGCGCAGTGATAGTGTGAATAGCTTTGCGCTGACACAGGTGAAGTCTAGACATCGAAAGGGACAACATTCGTTTACGCCCCCCTCCCCCCCCCCACACGCACACACACACACACACACACACACACACACACACACACACACACACGCACGCACGCACGCACACACACACACACACACACACACACACATATATATATATATATATATATATATATATATGTATCTCAACATTTGAAGTTTTGCCACGATAGTATTGATGCTTGTTTCTTTTTACTTTGATCTTATGTCAAATCTTGTGCACAGTGTGTTTGTTTATAAAAATGCCCGCCACTCCTGCAAAGATTTGCAGGAGGCTGTAGCATTTTAAAATAACTGTATAGATATAGGGCATTGAGGACTACGCATAATACCTGTGATTCATGGGGGCTACTTTCAGATTCGGTTTACACCATGGAGTACATGACATGGAATTTCACGTTCCAGTTTATAATCAATGCCTTCCTCAGCGTTACAACATTTTTCTTCATTAGGTAAGGACTGTGGATGTGTGTGTCCTAGTATTGCAATATGGACGTTTGATACAAGCAGGCAACCCACATGGCCTCAGTTATTTACTTATGACGTGTTTTTTTTTCAGCGGCTTTCTACTTTCGTATCTGGTAACAGAATCGCGGTCATCTGTCCTGAATAATAACCTGCTACTCGTTTACATAAGTCGAGGAGTTCGCCGTTACATCAGGTAAGGTGCCTTGCTCCATATCATGTTTGAAAACCTCACTTCTCACTCGGAAATGGCAGTATCAAGATTTCTTTTCTGGTTAAACAAAAACTTATTCATGTGCACTTCACAATTAGTTGTGTTTGTCATTTTTTGGGGCACTTTATTTTGCTCCCGAAGTATAACGGTACAAAGTATTGTTCAATTTAAAGGCAACAAGTGCTGTCATGAAAACTTTCCTTCGTTTGGAAGAACAATGTTGTGCTGTCTTAGTAACGCCTGAGTGGTGTAACGATTAGTATTTGACTTCTAAGGAATGTTTTTTTTTGCGATTAGGAACAGCAAAATGCAATGACTTCATACACCTTAGTCGCCATTGGTATGAGATGTTCGGGTAGTGCCACTATCGCCTCTCTGCCATGCAAAGTTGTAAATCCGGGACAACTCCCACGTCAGAGAGACTTGTGCGCATTTAGCAGTGCATCAATACGCTAAACAAAACATTTATTTTTCGTAACAGCTGGAGAGTGCCCGTCCCGAACAGAACACAAAATGGCTGTTTGTCAATAATTCTGGCTTTAGATAACTGTAGCCACAAGCGAGAGCAGGTGCACTTGCTTTTACTGAATATTTTCAGTGAAAGTGCAATGGTGGTAGAGCCATTCGAGCACATACGCGACAAGCGCTCAGAGAGCCACTTCTTCACTGAAGATGCGTTGTATTTAAGACTCAATTGCCAACTTCGAAGATTGTTGCGAGCCATCGCAAGGCAAGAAAGAGGAAGTGGATCACTCGAAAAACAGTTTTCCCCCTAGTTCTCCCCCTCCGTTAAAGTTGAGTGAGAGGGTTTTAGTTGGGCTTGGAACAACTATAAAAGAGGGCTGTTCAGCAAATGCTGCAGTTTCTCTTTCGTGCCTCCGTCGGTGGTGATATGAATTTGGCGTCAGGTAGAACAGACTAGAAACAGAACAAAATGCTAAGGGATGGAGGCCAAATTAAAGAAGCTTGTTGTTCGGTGTACGCTTCATTATTGACAGGATACATTGGCTAATTATATGTGCACCAGTAATGCTTGTTGTTGGGCTAGTTAGATCATCAATATTCAAGGCATATTTAAACTGCGCAAAAAGGCAACAAGTTAGAAGCATAAAACACGTGCACAGATGCACCTCGTGTGCGCACGTGTTGTATGTTTCTAACTTGTTGTCTTCTTCGCGCAGTTTAAATACGTCTCCAAGATATGTCCAGCATGAATATTTGGTAGCATTTGTTTTTGGGACGATTCCGTTCTTGCATTTTGTGTGTGCGTGTGTGTGTGCATGTGTTTGTGTGTGCACGGAAACTTAGCTGCTTCTTAACCGTAAAAAAATTAATGCAGCTTGCTTAGAGTGGCACAAGGCTGAGCCACAGCAAGGCTCGTAGGCACTTTGCAGGTTTTTTTTGTTAACCATCTGTGCAGAAGGCTTGGGCGGTCATTGAGCGCGTTCTTGTTCATGATTATCATGATTTTCTTTTAATCTACAACATACGGTAATCTCCGGTCATAACAATTCTGCTGCAATACGCATCAAAAAGACGGCATTTGCAATACAATATAAGTAACGGTTTTTTATAGCAGTACTTACCACTAGCTAGTGAAGCTTGATTAGGCAGTCTTTTAACAATAATATGTAACGTTGTGTGACCACGATCACGGCTTGAAGAGCAAAAAATGGCATGAAAAAAAACAATACGAAGGGGTCGTGAAGGGGTTCTTCTGTGGACGCCCTGATGACTCTGATTTCTGTGGGTCTTACCGTCAAACTAATATCCGATAGTGGTGTCGTGATATATAAATATAAATTTCGTACTTTCTCTATATTCAGCAGTTGTAAGTTAGCAACACCCTGCTTTCTCGTCTTGTCCTGGTTTCTTTTCGCACTATGGTTTTTACTATTCAGCTCAAATATTTTATCCTAATGCCACGCGCCTGGTTTCTCCTTAAACATCAAGGTCTCATGACCGTGAGCTGTTGATATTTCGGAGGGCATGCCGCGAAGCCAATCTGCATATATGCAACTACTACATATAAGCTGTTTTTAAAGGTTAATGTGAATTTGGCAGCTCACGTATACCACTGACATATTCTTGCGAGGATAAGATGCCTCTCATCGAAGTATAGTTGCACAGGTTGACCATTCCAACTTTGGTGGTGCTGGTGACGGGTCTATTGCTCCCTCTCACGGGATCGGGGCCGGCTGACGAGGACGCCTACAACCAGCACATTAGGAGTTGCTACCACAACTGGTGGAGGCTGATTGTGCAAGCACAGAACTTCGTCGAGGAGGGCCAGCTGGTAAGCACGAGCCTCATAATTGCTTCTTTTTCTTCACTTTTGCTGCCATGAAATAAACTTTGTCTTCAGTTTTATCTGATAACCCAGGTGAAATGAGGGTGTAGAGGGCGTAAAAGGAGTGGCACGCCGATGAAAACGTTGCCTGTACAAATTCGTACGTGTCATTTCTTTCTACACAAGTTTCTTTAGGTTAGTGCTCTTAGAAGTCTTTAACAATTTTCTAGAAAAAAAAATGGGGTAAATTGTCATTCCCACAATACCATTGATAATACATAGGGTGTTTCAAAATGTATGTGCGCAAATACAAAGAAATAAGCAAACTGCAGTGTTTACTCACTGCCTTCCTTATTGTTTTTTGTGACTTTGAACATCTTAGCATGAATAAAGCAATCAAATACGACACCTAATAAATAAATAAATAATTAACTTTTTATTATTAGAGTAGACCGTTAGGTGAAATGAGAGATTAGTAACCCTTCCTGCAAAGAGGTCGTTGCTGCTCTAAGATTTTCAAGAAGAGGAACCTAGTAGTTTTAATCGAGTGATCTAATCTGACCAAGTCTGCTGGTAAAACCGGAATTGAAACGTGGGACATCCCAACGGTCATACTATTCTGAAAAGCCCCGCCGCGGTGGTCTAGTGGCTAAGGTACTAAGCTGCTGACTCGTAGTCGAGGGATCGAATCCCAGCTGCGGCGGCGGCTTCATTTTCGATGGAGGCGAAAATGCTGCAGGCTCGTGTGCTAAGATTTGGGGCACGTTAAAGAGCCCTAGGTGATCGAAGTTTCCGGAGCCCTCCACTACGGTGTCTCTCATAATCATATGGTGGTTTTGGGTCCCGTTGCAGTCTTGTACTTTGGGACCCTCGTCTGTATATTTTACTCCCTGTAACATCCTTTTATGACATGATAATAAACTGTTTGATTGATTGATTGATTGGGACGTCAAAAATGAGTGAGAGTCCTTACATTAAACTTCCATGAATTTTTCTTCGCGGTTGTGCCGGCAGTGCTTCCGATTAGAGCATACACGGCGCGCAAGCTTTATTATATGCAGAATAACTAACACCACTGCAATCGTTGGCGTAAGCAATGATGTCATTCTGGACGTCTGCCAATGGAGCTTATCTGCGCATTTTGTTTTGGTTTCACCGCTGAAAATAGTCTAAGTACATTAATCTGCAATACTTACTATAGGCGGCTTTTTTTTTTAAATCTGCAAGCTGCACAGGACTGTTTGCAGATAGGACTTCAATTGTTCGACATTCGACTCGACCACCTATCACTACAAATTAAAGCATTAATTAGTTTGATTTCTTTATTTACCGATGCAAATGATGTCTCTTGTCACAATTAGGATGTCTACTGCTACAGAAAAAGCACTTACGAAGATTGTGAGTAAATACAACCAAATATCGCTTTAACGAAGCCCGCAACAACGAAATCTTCGCCGCAACAAATACTTTTCAATTCCTCGTCAGCTACCCGTAGTAAAAAATGTAAAGAATGTTTCGCCACAACAATTGCTATTCTGGAATACTGCCACTTGAACGAAGTTTGCACGAGTGCTACCACATATGGAAAAGAAAAGTGCCTAAGATTTCCTCAAAACGTTGCTGCCAACCCAGCCCTTTCTTGTTCCCTTGTAACTTCCTGAGTGGTGCGACCGCATCACAACACCAGTCTATTTCTCGGAGCTACGATTTCTGCCACCACACACACACCCCAGTAAATTTTTCGCCAGTGAGATTCTTGTTGACAAAACGCCTATCCAACATGATGCTGATTGATTGATTGATTTGTGGGGTTTAACGTCACAAAACCACCATATGATTGATTGATTTGTGGGTTTTAACGTCCCAAAACCACCATATGCTGCGTCGGCTTGTTCCGCTGCTTCCATGTTGCGTCGTCAGGCCACCTTCGGTAAGTGAGCTTTCGCCGTCAGGGCTTTGCTTGTTTGGCGTTGTGTTCGGAAAGCTCCGTCGCGGCGTCGTCGTCGTTGATTGATATGTGGGGTTTAACGTCCCGAAACCACTATATGATTATGAGAGACCCCGTAGTGGAGGGCTCCGGAAATTTCGACCACCGGGGCTTCTTTAACGTGCACCCAAATCAGAGTACACGGGCCTACAGCATTTCCGCCTCAAATATCCAACATAATGTTGCCTGTGGGTATGGTGCAGGCGCATAAAGGCGCATAAGTGCCATAATTGCGGGGAGCAAGGTCACTTGCGAACAATGTGTAGGCAGCGCCCCGGCAGAACAAAGGCACTGAATGCAATCGATAGTCCGGCAGAGGATTCGGATGAAGAGCAAGAAATATACAGTATAAAAATCAATAAATCTGCCTACTTTGTCACTGTCAGGATTGAAGGACGAGCCTTCAAGATGCAAATAGATACAGTGTAGTAGAGTTAGGCAGCCAAGCTGCCGTACTCAAAGAAACAACACTGTCAGTTGCAGAACAAGGAATCCCCTGGTTTATTCTTGGGCCACGCTTTTATAGGCATGCGGTTGCTTATCCGCTGCCGCGTCAGCGCAGCTGATGACGAAGTGGAACGTCACGCAGTAGGCGTTATCACATTCCTTCCCCCAAGATTGTTTATTTATCTTCAGTGACGGAAATCGTGAGGCACGTATCGGTCTGGCTCTTTCCGTGTACGCTGGCTTCTGCGCAGGGCTGGTGGAGAGTGAGAAGGCTCTTCCGCTGGCGTCTGAGGAAGGTCGTCGTGAGCCACAGGCAGGGGCGATTTCTGCCCCCCTGTTGGCGGCGGGACCACCATTGTTGTGTCATCGGGAAGTTGATCTGCCGTGTTCGCCTCCGGATGCACCTGCTGGGGCGTGGTGGGAGCCTCCCGATTACCTGCAGAGTCCTCGGTAGAGGGTCGTGTCAGGGCCTCTGTACCGATGTTTGCTCCTGGATACTTGAAATAACTGCGTGAGTGCAAATGGTCAACATGAACGTGCCGGACTGTGTTCTGATTCTCTACCAGTTGGGGAAGGACAACTTCTCGTACTTTTTCTGGCCCGCTGTCTTGGACTACATGAACGTAGCCGTGACCGTGGAGCTCCCTGCAGAGCCGGCGAGGAAGCGCGCCAAGATCTATTGCAGGAAGGCAAAACTAGAGAAACCCTGGGTGAAGGCGAAGTGGATGCAGCGCAAACAAGCGGCTGCTGAGGCGGCGGTGGCGGCTGGTGCGACAGCACAGCAAGTCAATGCTCCAGGAGAGGACGGCAGCAGCCTTAGGACATATATACAGTATAAAAATATACAGTATAAAAATCAATAAGTCTGCCTACTGTCACTGTCAGGATTGAAGGACGAGCCTTCAAGATGCAAATAGATACAGGGGCCTCTGTCACCGTCGTGCCGAAATCCGTTTTTCAGCATGACGGTGACCGACGCCCTCCGTTATCACACTCCTTCCCCCAATCTACCAGATTGGGGGAAAGAATGTGATAACGCCTACCGCGTGACGTTCCAAACGCCTATTGTAGTACGGTACGAGCTCTGCATCTTCCACTTGCGCTGGCCATCCTTCCAAAGTATATTGATTAACCTTGCTAAGCGTGTGGTCATACCTGCTTGCTTCAGCGACGTCCTTAGCAGTCAGTGCCGTTGTTTCAAAAACAGCGAGAGTATCTGTCTCCTCCGTCTTGGTTGCACTTGAAATAGGCAATCTCGACAGTGCATCTGCAACTTCCATTTCAGATCCGTTTCTATATCTCAAGTCGTAACGATAATACGCCGAAGTTAAAGCCCATCGTTGCATGCGAGCGGCCGCTAAAGATGGAACTTGTTTTCCTGGCCCTAAGATGCCTATCAGCGGTTGGTGGTCTGTAAACAACATGAAAGTCCACCCATATAGATAGCAATAAAATTTCTTGAGGGCAAAAATGATCGCCAACTATTATCGCTCGATCTGGGCATAGCAACGTTCAGCTTGCGACAGTGTTCTGGAGGCGAAAGCGACGGGTTTTTCTGTGCCATTTGGAAGTCTGTGGAAGAGAACTGCGCCGAGCCGATACTGCGATGCATCACAGCTAACAGCCAAGGGGTTTTTTGATTGTAAAAACCGAGTACTGGGCTTGTCGTGAGCAAGCTCTTCGTTTCTTGAAACGCGAGAGCCCATTTTTTCGTCCAATTCCAACGCTTTTCTTTCCCCAGAAGCTCATACAGCGGCGCAGCTCTGGTTGCCAAGTTGGACAGGAACTTTGAGTAGAGTGTTACCATTCCAAGAAAAGACTTTAACTCCGTTGCATTTGTGGGCTCGGGTGCATTCTTTATCGCTCTGACTTTTGACCCAAGTGGCCTGATTCCCTCCGCTGAAATTCCGTGGCCCAGGTAGCGAACTTCGCTGCAAAAGAGCTTGCATTTTTTCATGCGCAGCGTCACATTGTGATCGCGTAGCTGGGTCAATACTTCTTCCAGCTTCAGCCGACAGTCATCAATACTTGACCCTCCTATGATGACATCATCGATGTCACATTCTACTTGAGTGACGCCCTTGAGGATCCTGTCCATGAGTGACTGGAATAAGGCAGGAGCACTTGCGATGCCTTAAGGGAGCCGCTGGTATTGGCATAGGCCTTGCTGTGTGTTTACCGTTAAATACCTTTGGCATCTTCGTCAAGCTCCACTTGCTGATAAGCGGAAGCAAGGTCAAGAACGCAGAATACTTTAGAGCCTGCTAAAGTTGCCAATAAGTCTTCTGGCGGAGGCAGAGGGTAGTGCTCAGTCAGTAGCGCAGGGTTCACTGTGACCTTGTAGTCGCCACACAGCCGTACTTTTGCTCCTCCATCTTTTAGTACCACCACTAAAGGAGTTGCCAAACCGCTTCTGGTGACCATTTTTAATATCCCAGCACGCTCTAAGAAGTCCAGCTCCGCAGACACAGCTTGCTTCAGCGCAAATGGCACTGGTCGAGCCTTGCAAAATACTGGCTTGCTGTTTGGTTTCAAGAGAACTTGCTCACAAGCCCAGTACTCGGTTTTTACGATCCAAAAAAACTCTTCGCTGTTAGCTGTGATGCATCGCAGTATGGACGAAATTATTCGTCCGAAAAGGTTTCAGTGCTGTCTTATAGACATTCTTGAAATTTACAAAACTTGGGTAAAACAATTTTTTTATTACCGGGGTGGTTTTGAAACACACATGTGGTAAAAAAAGGGGGATAAAAAGGACCACGAAAGCAATGTATACAGTGTGTATGTTGAGTATGTAATGCAGGCAATGCAGCGATGAGACAAGAAGCTTACTGCTCATTGTTCCTCAGACACATTATCCTCAAGCTTTGAGTGTCATTGGGACATTCCTGAAGATCTTGAGCCTAATATGCTCAGTTCCAGTGAACAGCACCCAAAACAACGAAAATGTAACCGTACTTCAAAGGGGAAGTACGGCGACAGTGCACTTATCCGAAAGGAAAAACAGGAGGTTCATTCTGCAAATATCAAACACAGATAGCTTCTTTGTGACTAGTTTTAAATTTTGTCTTCGTACAAGCGCAGCATTTTACACCAAAAATGTTACCTAGCTGACTGCATGCGTCTTCCGGAACGTGTGTGGCAGGCTGCTGCTCGACGGAATCTTCCATATAGCTCAGCACTGCGGAACTCAAGCCAATGCTGTGAAGCCAGTCTTTTATTAGATGTATTGCGCTGATAGTAGGGGGTTGTAAGAATTATTGGCAGAAAAATAATGTTCAAGGGCTAAGGAAAATGCCACGCGGAAAATATTTTTCATATTCATAACATTACAGCGTTATTAAGTGGAACCGTTCACAATAATTGAGACCAAGTTCCAACACTTTCCAGCGCTCCATGTAAGGTAACTTAAATGTTTTTCATCGGGGCCTGGCAGCTAGTATTTCCCCGTTACTGTTAACGACACCTCAACAGTTTGAGACACCCGCTGGCTTTCTGATGCTCTAATGGCTTAGTAGCTTGTTCCCGTGGGCTGTCTATAGAACGAAAGAAATGTTTTGCGCCTCGTAAGTGCCTCGAAATGCATCCCATTTATACACGCTCTTTTTCTGCAGCATCAATCTGTGTCCCATATTTATATGATGTTTTTTTTTCTATCAGAAATGTTTGGCTAGTGCGTCTGTTGACAGCAACTTTAGTTTATTTATTTCAAGTTAGGTGGCTCTTTGGTATTGCGACAGCAAGATATGTGAAGAAATCTGAAAGTTTTTGTATGCCTTTATGTAGAAACAGAATTTTATTCTTCTCAATTACAGTGCCTCCAGCATTTGTGGTATGTCAGCACAGACCTGCAAATATTCATGTTCATCGCCTTTCCGCTGACTCTTCTACTTCTCAAGTGAGTAAGAAAATGTAAATGGCAAATACGTTGATCGAAAAGAAACCATTACCATAAGTGGCTGTGTATTGCGTTTGGGAAGAAGGCCTATTATATAATAAGTCGCAAAAACACGTTGTACTGCACCACTTCCACGACATAATTGCATAAAGTGCTTTGTTATATAAAAACAATGATGATTTTATGGGACGCTCACGTATGCGACTATGGTTGAGCGTTGGGCTAGTAGGTCCAGCATATTTCAATGTTTCACATCGTACGAAACGAGAACGAACTTAGTGTGTCTCTTCTTTGTTCGTCCTCGTTACATGCACTGTGAAACACATAACTCGTATTTGACAAAAAGAACACCCACACTCATACAAAGATCAGCCATTGTATTGTGTATGTGGTAGAGAATTAAAAAAAAAGTATAGTCATGATGGTAACCTTGTATTATAAAATATAACATCCCGTAAGAGAGTAATAGTGCAGCGTTTGTGTTTTTCAAAATGCATAACACTGACTCATACTTAAATTAGGTGGTATCCTATGAGCATCGTGTAGGTAGTAACACTCCATGAAGATTTCACATCATCAATAAAAATGCCATCGAATTTGAGGTTTCAGTTCTAAGCGCTTTTTAAATACCGCCTCGCACTTAGTGTGACACAGCGGTCACAACCGCTGTGCCACACCACTGTGTAACAAAATTATTATATGTGGCACACCCTAAAAAACTAAGTGAATTTTTGGCTACTCCACCTTGGCTTGATCTTAGCGGGCCACGCTGCGTACTTGTTAGAGTAAACTAGCAAGCAGGTCATTTTCAGAATACGCCGCAAGAGCCTATGTGTCCACGAGTGCGCTCTGGCCTGCTTATGAGCAAAATGACCAAAGTGCAATGGGACCCTGCCAGCTTGAGAATAATGATTGACAGCAGAGTCAGCAGTGGACAACACAGTAACAATCTTGTATAGAAAACAGTCCCTGTGACAGTGAAATTCAATTATGGAAAAACAGTATATGACACCTACGAAGACTTGAGCCAAAACCTCAAGCATTTGTAGAAAGAAATTATTTGCTAGAAATAAGGTGATAATATAGGAGATTGTCTAGATATTTTCTCCATTCTTGATTTGAAGAACATTTTGCTTGTTCTTGATCAAAAGCGCGTAGATAATGCTTACTTTAAAAGCATAATGCATCCTTGTATAGCAAAATCTCATGAGATGTCAGCATGCATGCTGACATCAGCCGTTTTATAGCAATGGTAGTATTTATGTTTCAAAAGTAAAGTCACTGCAAATTGTTGAACGAATCATTAGTATTTGTGAAAAAATAAAAACATCACACCGTACGATCAATAACGAAGCTCAAGAAGGCCCATATAAAGGAATTATGTCATTTGAGAGTTGAGAAAAACGCCGCATGCATCATATGCTTGCCGCTGCAAGTAAATTGCGTACTAGGAGAAATAGCAAGTGCATTTTCAAACTAGCGTTTCTGCAAATACAGAAAATGACAGAGTAACGCCCCATCAACAAAGCATAGAGCTCAACTACTCGAACATTTATGATCAGTAGGTTTTCACGTGATTAATTTTTCCCCAGGATCACCTAAATGGTTGTTCATTATGACGTAAATATATTATATTAAACTGGCAGCTGTTGCTCAATTGATGAGAAAGGCTGTTCATTATGACGTAAATATACTATATTAAACTGCCAGCTGTTGCTCAATTGTTGAGAAAGGCATGTTATGTCATCACGGTAATCAAATGCAACTCTATAAGTGAGACGAAGCCTATATGTACTGATATTTCAATAATCAAAGGTCTAAATAAAGCGCTAAAATGATTATTATTAGCACTAAATTAACCAAAGCATGACACAAGCACTATAACAAGTGACCTTCTTTCCGACACACGCAACGATGAATTGTCGATGAGTTGCACTTCCACTGTAGCTACACACTGACCTTTTACCGACAAGCACTTATGATTCTCGTTTATTCTGCGTGAATCAGATACCCAAAGACGTCTCAAGTTATAGGCGTCATCGTCGCCGTGGCCTTCTGCATCATGACGTGCCTTCAGACACACTCGTGGAACCTCTTCTACGCTTTAAACGGCGGATCGAATGACATGAGGTAAGTAAAGTGAAATGCATCGCCCTGCTTCGAAATGTTCACATAAACGAGTTGTTAGACTGAATTGTTAATAGCTGAGAACGCGAACACTGACTACAGATTGTACACATCAATTCAGTTTCTCTTTTTTGCCCCTCATTGGGGCGGAAAAATTGTTGGAATGATGATAACATTCTGACGTGTATCGAAGTCTGTTGCTTGATTGATTTGATTATTTGAAATGTGGGGTCTAACGTTCAAAAGCCACCACTACATTATGAAAGACGCCGTAGTAGTGGGCTCCGGAAATTTCGAATACGTGGGGATATTTAACCTGCACCCAAATCTGAACACATAGGCCTACAGCATTTTCGCCTGCATCGAAAGTGCAGCAAATGCAGCCACGATTCTATCCCACGAGCTGCGGTTCAGCGACCGAGTATACCTTAGCCACTAGACCACCGCGACGGGGTGACAACCCTGTTGCAGCGACACATAGCGAGAGCAACTTGTATGCTCACGTGAAAAGTAGAGCACACAAAGTTTTCTCTTGAAACGCGCAGCAAGAAAAAGTCGGTGACCCAAGAAAGGAGATCAGTGCCGCAGTGTTCGTGACAAAACTGGAGATGGGGCCGCGGTATTCAATATGGAAGAAAACGCGAGAGAGAGAGAAAGGGCGCTTGTGGACGCTGCAAGGGCAAAAAAAAACAACAAACAAACAACGAGGATGAAGACTCGCATGCTTCTTCCCAATATCTTTAATGCATCCACTACACCTCTTTCAACCCTCTACACCCACAATGACCGCTGCGATGTGTCTAACCTCAAACCACTGTATATCCCAAAATATCATTCGATTCTATGTCGGCGGTTACACTAGTGAACGCTTTCAAAAATTCTAACGATGAAACACTGGCTGTGCGGAGCAGCATATAGCATCCAGCGCATTGCCATAACGTCCGATTAGGCCCAGTTACCACAATCAACTGCTGATAAACAGTGTATATCTTTCTCTCACTTAATAATACAATTTATTGCGTCATGGTTGCATTTTTATGCTGGCTGTTAGTTGGTCCTCTGATGAAGCACTGCATGACTAATGTACCTTTCACTCTACCCTTTTAGCAATCGTTTGTGCATGTTCATGTAATGATAGGCGTTATTGAGAGAAAGATATTTCTTATTCCTCCTCAGGAAAATGCAGAGGACGCTTCTATACGTTTACATCCGGCCGTTCACTCATGTGGCCACATACATCGTGGGTATTCTCTGTGGCTACGCTGCAAGTCAACATAAGAATAAGCACATCCACTTGGTACGTCAGTGACTTTGTTCACATAATCTACATACAGAACCACTGTTACGCGCAATCGTGTCTAGCTTGCGAGAAAAAAAAAGCACCAATAATTTGTTATGAATTATTGTTGACACATGGCGTTAAGGTAGCCACATAGATTGATTGCTAAATCATCATTTGCACTTCAAATATTAAAACTATGCCGAGTATTTTGCAATATTGTAATTATAGTGTACTTCTCAGGATCTAGCATGCTAGCCAGCAAGCTGCGACGAAAAATTGTTATCAACTGTGGTGAACCCAAATAGTTCATCGAAATTGCCTGAAAAAAATAATTACTGTAATTTTGTTGTGATCCGGTGTTAGCCATACCCCACATAACCACACATAATTAGATTTTTGCTGTAGTTATTGTTCATGGGTCGGGAATATGTGAATACCTAAATACTGCTCACATTTGCATAGTTTCACGTTTGCTGCGTCGTTGTCTACACGTAAGGGTGAGAAAATCACAATGCCGTCCTTGACATTGTGCTAAATTTTTGCGTCAGCTGGCAAAAGCGTCCCCGCAGTTAACACATGGAGAGGTTCGTCCGGCTCGTATCAGCTCACTTGAGAAGCAATGGTAAGTGTACCGTCAAGTGTTGCCTCATCGCAGTTTAAAACTTTGAAATTGGCCTGAATACTACAAGCCTTGAACGCCCCTGCGCGGGGAAATATGCGATTCGGCTTTGCCCACTACCTCACCTTTCAGGTCAAGCCCTGTGTGCGGATTCATAATTTCTTTTTCGTAACGCTGCAAACCGGCTTTGCCAATAACATGTGGAACTGTGGGATAGGACGAAATGTTATCTTGCAATCATTTGTAGCATTGGACGATTCGGGTCATGGGTTCTTAAGCCGGTATCACCGTTGAAACATGATACTTATACAGCTTTAGCTGAGTGTTGCTTACTCTCCATTTGGTGTCCACCCACTTGAATTTCTCGTGACCAGGTGGCTGCAGAATGGTATAATGTTTATTTCAGATTTTAACTTCTCGGGGCATGAGCAGAGATGTATTCAGTCAGGTATCACGGTGTCAAAGATTCCGAGCTGACAACCATCCTCGGCTGAGAGAGAGAGAGTGCACAGCATTATATGCAATTATTATGGTACCGGCTTGAACATAGTGCGCACGCGCACTCGCGTTTTGTCAACCGCCAAAACGAAAAGTGCCAAGATACGCGCTTCCGAGAAAAGCGGAGAGGCCGCTCTAAATCTGTGCTGAGCCTTGCACAATGAGATTACCTGAGAGGCACCAATGGAGCTGATTCAGAAGTGAAGCGCGCCTCCTTAGTGCGCTGGAAAGAGTGAAACAAATACGCTATATAGCTTCAGCTGTTTCACGTATTGCACACAACAAAATTTTACCAAAATGGCTACAACATGATAATCATTGCTGTATTCAAAGCTCTCCGTTTCACGTAAAGTTGCTTCTCATGTTCAACACGTGTGTGGGTGCTCAGATGCTGCAGGCTGTCTTGTGGTGCCTGTCCCTTGTTCTTGCCTGTGCGGTGATGTTCGTCACGGTACCCTGGAACCAAGGCATGCTTCCTGAGGACTTGTCCAACTCGATTTATGCCGGCTTTCATCGAATCTCCTGGGCTATCGCATTCTGCTGGCCAACGTACGCTTGCGCAACTGGAAGAGGTGGTAAGAGCACTCCTTCATAGCTCACGACTAAGACATGTGTCATCTTCAGAAGATTCTCACTGATAGTCAATATGCCTTTAGATTATTCTTCAAGATAACGGTGATTAACCTATCCACTCAAGAAAATTTACGCCTTCAGAAAAGGACAAACTGGGAAAGCCAAACGTCTGTGTGGGAGTCTGTGATTGTAGCACTTACGATAACTTAATATTCACTAGGTGAAATTCAACAACGGGCAGCTAATTTATGTGGACATGTTTCAAGAACAACTTCCCATGCTTCGTGTGACCCTCTCTACGAGTTATACAAAAAGGCCGAACGACGCATTCTGAAGGAAACAAGCACGATGAAACGACAAGAATCACCGCATAAATTGTCTGGACGTAGGCTGCTCGCGTTCATTGGTCACCTTTCGAATGAGCAAATAGCAACATCACTCATACCTACTGCAGACATTCAAATTTTCGTGTTTTTTTTCAGGCCTGTGCAAGGCAAAAAAACAATAAAAAAGTGGACAGGAGAAGCACTCATCTAAAAACTCAAATTTTTCTTCCGAATCCACACACCATCAAGTATATAGGCAGTTCTTTGTGAAAGGCATGTAAATCGCTTGTGAGTAAATCTTCACACATTCATGAGCAATCACTGAACGTGATGTCTTCCTTTGACATCAAAACGAATGGCTGCCTGGAACCTGTGCCTAATACTGACGATGCTTCAATTATGGTAAGAGATTGCAATCAGCACACACGAAAAATTGCTCTGGTATTTAAAATATATAAGCATAACAAATATGTGTAATTAGTTGTAAGAACACATAATACGCCAATTCTCCCACCTTTCAATGATTATCCGGTACATTCTACATAAATGTATTTGTCATTACTTCGTAGTAATTTTTTATTAGGCGTTGTTCCCCGACTAAACAGCGCAACCTTGCTCAATGAAATGGAGTGGTCATGAATGCCGCCCGAACGTTATTGAACGCTAGCAAGTGGTGATGCTATTTTATCTAGCGCCAAATATAATGCTGCAGTCGTATGGAAGTTCGTGTGAAAGGCTATTATAGAGGGTAAATCTGCATGCAATTTTAGAAATCAGGCCTGTGTTCTCAAGAAGGTTCTCATATATGCCTAAACTGCTCGGAAAAACTAAAGGCAGCCAACCCTGCGTGATCAAACCAGCGAAGGCGGGTTATGAAGTGAAACGTTCAGTTACTTAGAAGTGTGGCAGCTTGGGCTAGTTGGTATGGCATGACGATAGTTAAAGCGCGAGAACGAAACGACGACACATAGACAAGAAGAACACGAAGGACACGAGCGCTCGTCTTTGTCGTCGTTTTGTTCTCGCGCTATAACTATCGTTTAGTTACGAACTGAAAGATTCGCGACTACCGCCAAGGTGCAATACAAGGATTTATTTCTCACCATAATCAGCTGGCAATACCCGGATGATTATCGACCATGTACGAAGAATGGGTGACGATATGTAAAAATAAAAAAAGTAATGGTATTACGATATATGCTTCAAAGCAAGATTAGCCAGAGCATCCTTCTACCGCTTCCGTATTAGATATTAAAATACGTAACTACTTAGGAGATCTCAATTTGAATGACACCTAACTTCTTGCAGTAATATTTTCCAGGGGTTATAGCATCATGTCTACCACTTTAGATTTTAGTTTAGCATGAGTCAACTATGGAGTTAGGTGAACTCTTCTAGGTGAAATCCAGGAGTAACAACGCCAAAGAGACAATAAGGAATAAGGTAGCTTGTGCAATGTCCACCGTTTTCTGATCCACTATCACGGCAATGTCAAGCGGGAACGAAAACTGAGGCATCTTCGCACCAGAGGTGCGAAAGCTAAAGTAAGTGCTGATATATAGGCGTTTTTTTTTATTTTTCTCCGCCTTTCACTCTTTTTGTTTTTTTCTTATATCTCTGTTCTTTTTTGATTTTTTTCTTTCTATTTCAACATCTTTCTTCATGGCTTTCCTTCTTATTTCTCTCGTGTATTTTTCTTTTTTTCTCGCTCTTTATGTTTTTCTTTCTTTTTCTTACCTAACCTGCTTCCGCTTCGACGCATATATACATCGGAGTATACTTCTGATACTAGGAGTATACTCCTCGCATCTTCATTCTTTCCATTTATTTCTCTCGCTCTTTTTTCATTTCTTTTCCCGTGTTTCTTCTCTTTCTTTCCAATCAATTCTCACTTTCTCTTTTATTTTACGCTTTGTTTTACTCTCTCCCTGTTTCTCCTCATCGCCTTTTTTTTCTTTGACAACCCCCTTTCTGTACATAACTAAAAGGCGCGTGCCTTGATAGCCGAGTGGTTTTGTGCATGGTTTCGCACCACTGGTATGCTGGTTCAAATGCTGCTTTGCCAACGCATTGTCGTGGCCAAGAATTTTTTTCTTTCCAACTCTTTCGGCCTTGCTCTCTCGAATCAGAGTGAACACATTCTACGCCGTACGATTCGGCGCACGCGTTCTGCGAGCGAAGCGAGAAGAAGAGTGCGTGCCTTTCATGACGAGAATAGTTTTCTGCTTGGGCTAGCGGCTGGCTTGAACAGGTGCGCTGGTACAAATGTAGAACAACTCTAATAATTGAAAATGCAATGCGTGTAGGCTCCCATACTCATAGGTATAGTGTTCCGTGTTTTCGGAGTTTATTCTTCAGTTGAAATTCGGGGAGTGTTTTTTAGGAGCTTATTTCATGGCGGGAATACGACGTTTATCGCCGTTAATTTTTCGTAAACTTCCAATTCTCCCAAATTTGTAGTTCAATCTTGTTTATTTGTTGATATTCCAACACGTCACCTTACATACGTTGAGGTTTCTTGCTCTGTTCACGAAACGCGCTCTGTTAAATGTGTAAAGGGTGTGGTGCTTATAAGAGATAGAGTGAGAACTTATGAAGCATCGCACGACGACAAGCTTGTCGTCGTGTGCTTCTTCATAAGCAATCATGAACTATCATCAACTCACCCAACTTCCTACATTCCTGTATGAGATACTCTTAACGTGAGGTAAAGTTGACATCGGCAAACCGGCCGATGTATTAATGACCACTAAGAACATGCCCTTTAGATATATAATAGGGTAGGGCCTATTAGCCATTAACTTCGGAGTTTATTAGCTAAATTTGAATTATAAAAAATTACCGGCAAATTTATCCTATCTTTTCATATTTATACAAAAACACGGAGCCTTACGCAGCTCAGTGTCTTCTCGCCTAACAATTCTTCATCGTTGGCGAAATTGGCTTCAAATTTATGCACACGAAAACGCAACATGATGAGCGGCCTCGACCATAATGAGTTCGGCGGACGTTTCTAATGCAGAGTTCAACGTATCATTACGCAGCATTCGTAGTCCGTTTGGCAGTCAGCATGGATGGGGACACCGATATTCCGTGACGTGGCGTTATGCAACGCCAATTCTTAGAAGGCGCACTTATTGATAATATGTGTTCCTTACACCCGGCTGCAAAGCTGTCTTGCACAAACATGATGACGGAGATCATGATGACGATGATGATGAAAAAGAAGATGATGATGAATAAAATAATATATTTTTCAAAGGGGCAAGCATCCATGTGTCCAATAATCTGCCATCAGGCTAGCCACGCCGCGCTGCATGACTACTACCACTCGCAGCACTTCGAAACTAGACTATAGTCGTTCTAACTTTGTTTTGACTTGAGAGTCTATTCAACAAATTAATAAATTGTGCCTGCGCTGCAAAAATAGTGGGCATCAAGACAGAGTATTCCACTTCGCTCTGTAGTGTTGGCGTTTCGCGCCGACATGATGGTACGTGGCCTGGAGGGTGCATGAAGGGCCCGGAACCCCTCTCCACACCCCCGAAACTTTTGAATGTTTTTCGGAAAAAATCAAGGCCTTGAGTATGTGAGCCAACCCCCTCTCTCCCCCCCCCCTCCCAAGCTCCCCGATAAATGCCTGGCTACGGGTCTGCGTAGCCCACACGATTATACAACAGCAACAATCACCGGAAATGAGAGTTTGCTGTCACTATGAGAATTTTAAAAAAATCACTCTTCCCAGCTGTATTTCCTGAAGGAAAACAAATAATTAGACCACTGTTGTCATAGCAAATTATTGTGAATTTATGCACTGATCTGTTAATAAACTGCTTTATGACAAAGAGCAGACATAATTTGCGCGTGTTAGGTGAATGATTGCGAGGCGCTGCTGCTGTCTTGGTGCGGAGTTGATACCTGTCCGTTAATTTGCGTCTCCACTTATTCGTCCTTTTCAATGCAGGCTGGCTGAACAAGATGTTCTCGTGGAAGTTTTTCATCCCGCTGTCAAGATTGACATTCAGCATCTACCTTGTTCACGTTCTCATCTACATCGCCCGCATGATTCGTCTCCGGACATACGTTAACACCGATGAGTTCTTCCAGGTGAGAAATATAAATAAAAAACGAAACAAAGTCACAGTAACTGATATTGTGTCAATTTGCTTTCGGAAAGAAAACTGCTTCTAAAGCCGTGGGTGCGGAAGTTAAAAGTCACAACTTTGCCGAAAAGGCGAAGCAATGAACGCAAGAGCAACCAATTGGAAGGTTACGCGAAAAATGGCAAGCACCTAGAGACGTGCCCCGCGTTTCTGACGCACAAATGACGCATGAAACGTACTCACAGGTACAGATTAAAGCAAATAAGTGTCTCAGTTGTATTTTCTCTGTGTCTGAAAGTCGCGAGTTTTCGCAAACGAAGACTGTGCAACGAGTACAATGACCTTTGTGTGGCCGGTAACTGCAACAGAATAGTTCCGGTGAAAGCCCAAGGAGTATGATCCCCTCCCCCTGCGAGATAAGCGCGCACAGGCCTCAGCGTTCATCTCCCTCTCACCGCGGGGCAAAGTACACGAGAGATATGATAGCACGTGCCGCGTCGTCGTGACAATCTGGTGACGTGGGCTCATTGCACCATCTCGCTAGTACTGCTGAAAACACGATACTTACCTTGAGATGACCTTCACCAGCGGTAAGTGGTACATACAAATAGCTTGCCGTTTCAAGTCTGAAGAAGGTGCCCCTTCATGACTCAGTGGCTAACGCCTCGCGCTCACAAGCAAGTAGTCGGACGTTCGGTTCCGCGCACTGAAGTATTTTTTCTGAACTATTTTTTTCTTGCGTTTATACATATACAGGGTGCCCATGTAACTTGAGCCAGAGTTTAAAAATATGCCAGAACATGTAATTGCGATGTGACGAAATGCTTGTTGCTCACTCTTGCCTGGAGTTAGTCAGACTATTTTTGTGTTCTCAAATAATGTTTAATAAGACATGCCTAATTAACTAACTTTTCAAGAAACAAAGACAGATAAAAAACTTCAAGTAGAAAGTTGCATATCGGTTTGCAAAACGTCTGATTAGACAGTTTTAAACTTTACATCTGTTAGGTATTAGGGTTTTTCTGCTAATTACGAATGCCCGCGAAATACAAACACACGACGGGACAAACCCGCCCTTGCTCCAGTGCGCGCAATGATTCTTGCGCTACCTAACGTTCCGCGTACGAATGACCGTAGCATTTGCCCCATTTTGTTGTCTCGGCAGGGCCGCAACAATAGTGGTGACTTTACGATGGACACGTTTTGCAATAGGCCAGAAAAACAATAACCACTGTGACTACTTATCGCCGTCATGAACCGGTGCGAGGGAAGCGTGTCGATCGAACGAGGAACTTTAGGGAGCACCAAAGTCATGTGCACTGACGAGCGAGTGGGTTTGTAACGTGGTATATATTTATTTATTGGTCATACAGTTAACCCTCACTTAAGGGTCGTTACGTATTGATTTGTACTTCGCGGGCTTCGCAATTAGCAGAAAAACACTAATACCTAACAGATATAAAGTTCAAAATTGTGCAATCAGATGTTTCGAAAACCGATGTACAGCTTTCTCATTGAATTTTTTTTCTATCTTCGTTTCTTGAAAAGTAAGTCAATTAACATATCTAACTAAAGAATGTTTGAATAACAAAAAATAGTCTAACTCCCGGCAACGGTGAGTAGCGTGATTTTTGGTCACGTCGTAATTACGTGTTCCGGCATATTTTTTAAACTCTGGCTCAAGTTACGTGGGACACCGTGCATAGATACGTATACATATACGGTAAAAGACAGCGACGCCGGCGCTGGCGGCGAAATCCAGCCGAGAGTGTGCGTATATTCATTGTCGCGATGAGGGTGAGAAGGTCACCTGTGTCCGACAACACTATTCTCTTTTCCTTACAGCTCAACGTTGCGCTGGGCGTGTTCGCTCTGAGCATCGTGTTCGCCTACGTTCTGCACATACTCATCGAGGCTCCCGTCTTTCAACTTGAGAAAATCTTGTTCGAGCGAAAATCGGAGGAAGATGCGCCACCAGCTATATTAAAGAACGCGAATGGCGTCGAGCATGCGAATGGCTTTGAGTATGCTAAAGGCAAGGACGAACCCAAGAGCAGTATTCTCTAGGCATTCCTTTTCAATATATTATGGCGACGTAAAGCGCCATAACTAGACCAGCGCTGAGCTGTCAACTTGGCAATATACCAGCCAACTGCAAACAAGTGCCACGGCCATTCAGCAGTTGTTCCACGGAGTCAGTCACTTAACGGATATAGTTTGTTGTACATAGACTTGCAAAGTCACACTTATCAGGTACGGCATCGCACAGCTGAGCTCAAGGGCATGAGTTTAAGTTCCGGCCAGGGCGGCCGCATTTCAATGGGAGCCGAATGCAAAGAACACCCGTGTTCTAAGAATTAGGTGCACGGTAAAGGATTTCCTGTGGTCAAATTTATTTCAAACACCTCCACTAATGCGATCATATTGTAAACGTGGCACGTAAAACACTACAGTTATCCTATGTAAGCCACAAATTAAATGCAAAAGAGGCACGTCTGGCGCGTGCACGGCAACTATGTGCTGAAATATTTACAAAAGTCAGAATGATGCGTCTAGTTAACTTTTCGTGTGGGGGCTATTTTTAACGAACGCGCGTTACCTCTAGTTCACTTAAGCGATTTCCGCTGAAGAATGTTTGTAAGTAGGTTGTTTTTATTATGGTGTACTGATTGTTGTTTATGCGAATGCGTTAATAAAAAATATGCGCGATGCACTACGTGTTCTTCTTAAAAAGAATTTCACCCCGTAGAGACAGAATAAAGGATCCTATACAGCGTGTTGCACAGTACAGCAGTGTGATGCTGACGCACTAATACATTATTCAGTGTACGGAATAAAAGATTAGTGTGTCACTCTTCAGCGTCGAGAATTACAAACTAGCTAGTGTGGTGCTTCGAGTATGCGGACATGGCAGTTCCTGCAAGATATTAGACCGGTGTACTACGAGAAAAGTAGCGAGTGAAAGAGAATATAAACACGTCCCTCCTAAAGGGACGCAATACGCGTTGAAACATCGGACGCACATGGATCGAAGACATGCCATGGTCTTTCACATAAGTGTCAAAACAAGTGTGTCAAACATCTTCCTAACGTGTTCGACGCTGCTATTCAATTTACGCGGCCTCCTCTGTAGCTCTTAAAATAAGTGTGGTAGAATATTCATGACAATTTAGAAAGCTTTAAGGAAGTGTTGCGATCTAAACGAAAGATAATGGATAAAATAATACTTGTACTTTTGGGGATGGGCGGGATCACTCACCATTGTTCTCGTTAAGGAAAGTGCATTTTCGAACCACTGTGTTCTACGTGTTCATGCGCTTGTGCATAGAATGGCGGACAAGGCCATGACCCATGCCTCGCCGGACTGCCTCTTTCACGCTCAGCCTAGGAAACAGGTCCACCTCAAACACAAGGCTCCGGGCAATCATTCATTGTCATTTCAAACAGCACACCGACCATGACCAGTTAGTCGGTTTGAGACAACAGCTATCAGGGCAGTCATAAGGAGTTTTTTTTTTAATACAGAAAAGGGGGTTGAAGTGCTATAGACGCTTTAATGCAGTGGCTCACATTGCTTGTTAATTATATTTTTGCTATTTCATACGGGCATATTTCCGCGATATTAGGTTTCCTTCTCCTGATCATATTTATTTTGAAGCCTTGTTTTCGCATAAATGTTGTGGAGTGTCCACAGGAGTGCAGCTTCAAATATGTCCAGTTCTACTCTCTAATGCAGTACATGTCTTTGTCCCTTGTCATTGTCCCCCATATGCCCACATCATATAGCATGTTTTTCATCGCTCGTGGTATTTAGAGAAATTCTACTTTTTATTTACATCGCATTAAGACGAGCACATTGTTTCCTTTACACACACACACACACACACACACACACACACACACACACACACACACACACACACACACACACACACACACACACACACACACACACACACACGCACACACACACACACCCGAACACGTTTTATTTATCAACAAGGTTTTTTCTAATTTTATTTTGTACTAATGGTACAAAATATAATTAAGCCAACACAAGCTCATGACGCAAGTGGAAGTTGGCTGCTTACACGAAAATCAAACGGGCATTTCGATTGTGGTGCGGCGACACGCACTTTGAAATTGTTTTTAAATATTTTTAAGCTTTATTTGTTGGCATCTATTGATGATTGTATTCACACAAATCTATTCCATAGTCTATCTCGCTTTTAAAATAATATATGCTAAGCATTGGTTAGCGGACTTCAGCGACTTGGAGACTATCTATCTATCTATCTATCTATCTATCTATCTATCTATCTATCTATCTATCTATCTATCTATCTATCTATCTATCTATCTATCTATCTATCTATCTATCTATCTATCTATCTATCTATCTATCTATCTATCTATCTATCTATCTATCTATCTATCTATCTATCTATCTATCTATCTATCTATCTATCTATCTATCTATCTATCTATCTATCTATCTATCTATCTATCTATCTATCTATCTATCTATCTATCTATCTATCTATCTATCTATCTAATCGCCTACGACTTTTAGCTCTCCTGGCTGTTTCGATAATGTTATCAATACATAAATTGGTATGGAATAACGTGGTGGTACGACAAGCATAAGTGACTAGTCATAACACAAAAATCATGACATGTATGTCATGTGCGTCATGATTTACATTTCATGGTGTCGCTGCTCTTGCGGTGGTTTTGTTCACATGGCATATTGCAAAACTGGTATGGTATGACATGACTGCATGGTGAACATAAGTGACGGACTCTAACGAGAAAATCATGGCATACATGTTATGTAAGTCATGACTATACACCACGCTCATGGTACGCTCGCAGTCGTTTTGCTAGCTTTCCATATACCAAATTTGGTACTACCGGACGTCAATGAAGAACAAAGGTATATGACTGGTGCAAAGACGATAATCATCACACGCGTGTCATGCAAAACATCACTATATGCTACGCTCATAATGCATTCGTGGTCGCATCGCTAGCTCCACGTATACCTAAGTACCCCGTGCGGTGGTCTAGCGGCGAAGGTACTCGGCTGCTGACCCGTATACGTCGCGGGATTGAATCCGGGCTGCGGCGGCTGCATTTTTAACAGAGGTGAAATTGCTGTAGTCCCGTGTGCTCATATTTGGGTGCAGTTAAGAGAACCGCAGGTTGTTGAAATTTCCGGAGCCCTCCATTACGGCGGATCTCATAATCATATAATTATACGCTGGTTTTGGGGCGATGAACCTCACATATCTATCAACCATATCAATATCAGCATATACGAGACTTGGTTTTACTTGGCGTCAATGAATTAAGGAGGTATCTGACTGGTGCAAACATGATATGACATGCGTATATTATGCAAGAACATGACAGCATACCACGTTCACGATGTGCTCGCGGCCGTTTCGCTAGCTTTACATATACCAAATTCGGTATTATGTGACGTGAAGGAACGACGCACAAACATGATAATCATGACATGCGCGCCATGTAAAACATGACTAAAAGCTATGTTCACAGCACGCTGACCGCTGTTTCACTAGCTCCAGATGTACCAAATCTGACATCAGGTGACGTGAAAATACGACGAAGGTAAATTACACGTCCAAACATTATAATAATGATATGCGGGTCATGTTAAACATGGTTGCATGCTACGTTGATAGCGTGCTTGCGGCTGTTTCGCTAGCTCCACATATACCAAATTAGTTGCCACGTGACGTAAATAGACGACAAAGGTAAATAACACGTCCAATTATGATAATTATGGCTTCTAAGCCATGTACGGCATAATTTACATCCACATCGTAACGTTGTGCTGATTTTAAAGTGACATATCAACCTTCCTCATTCATGCTTCGCATATAATCGATCTCCACTGTACGTGGGATCTGCCAACTTTTTTTTGTTTTTGTAAGCACTCCTTTAAAGTAAAAATAGGCTTCCCGAAAGCTTAGACTGAACGCATTGGAGCTCCAGTGCAATTGAACCCACAATGTACAAAATGCTTTATGAGTGAAATAACTGGAACTACTGTACAGTTTTGCTGATAGTCTGTCCGCCTTTATATCAAATCTAGTATTTGTCTCAGAATTCGTTCTTAGTGCATGTGCCCAGGGATATACCAGACCTCTTTTACGAAAATAAATACTCTACGATAGATATTAGTTAAGGAGTTTAATTGTGAATTTTTTATACTTGGTCATTTATGTAGCTTGACTTCTGTCTACGTGACGCCTGCCTCTTAAAGCAGCTTCGCTGAGTCAGTACATTAGTGTTACAGTGCATTTTTGGAATAATTTGTATGACCGGTAAGATGGAACACTAGGCACAATAAGCGCTTCCTAGAAAGCAATCATTGACTGACTCACCACAACATTTGCGCTTGAAGTGGCAATGTGTCATCGCAACGTGTCGCAAGGGGGGAAAACATTGGTCCTCAAAATATTTCCCCGAGTCAAAATCTGAGGCAGTCATAAAGCCCTGACGGCATCTCTTCTGTTTTCTTATAATAGCTTGTACTGACGAAAATTCTTAATTTCATATTGACGCAAGGTGAAAAATCGCAATGAGCATTTCGCTGACAGAATGTTTACTACTTTGCAAGAAGTGAACGAATCAAACAGTGTCGTACTGAATGAAGACGAAGCCTTCATAGGGATACCCCACAATATATGAAAAATAAACTTTATCCTTCTTCCTAGTGCTGCTTTCCACTGCTCGATTCCATTGCCTTGATACGTAACAATATTACGCCCCTCTTTGTTTTAGTGCAGTCTCATAAAGTAAATTTTCAACACCTGTTTGGATGACATCGGTAAAAACAAAGGGGTGAGCAGGAGGTGAGAGAGATATGCGTACTCACCCTGGTTTACCAGTGCCTGTGCTAATTCGAAGAGCTTACTGATTCGATTCCCGACTACGGCGGATGCATTCTGGTGGGGTAACACGCGATGCGCTAAAGCACCGTACGTGCTATGAGTAGATCTTAAGAATACTAACAAGGAAAAACCAAAAACAGGAGCTTTTCACTACGGCACCTCTCACAAAACCTGTATAATATGAGGCGTTATAACTCTTTGTGTGTGCATGAATCAATCAAGAAATCTCTGAATTAATCTATAAATTGGTTAAAATAGGCCAACGTGGAAAGAGGGTGAAACAAATGCGCGTAGAAAGGAACGGAATCGCCAAAATGGTCTAATATTTACTTGCGCGACATTTGCCTTTTCCGCTTCTGTACGAGCGGACCTGTCCTACGGCTGGGCCTGACTCCAGGTGAGTGCCCGTGTCGCGTGCCACGCTCCGGCTGCCAGAGACACGTACAGATGGCTTTCCTGCCTCGGCCTCGGTAGAGCAACTGTACATGCTAATTTAGGTAGCAGAGTTTGGCCTCTGATAGAACTTACCACACGCGCCCCCATTCGACAAGCACGCTCACGTGCGCAAAAAGCACTCTTTTGAGAAAAGCCATACTTCACAGTCACTCAAGTGCTGGTGACTGTGCGCCATTGGCACCCACACCAACCCTGCCCCAGCAGTCCGGCGAGGGGACCAGGCTGAGTGCGGATGTACTTCGTTGGGGTTGTGGTCGCTGTCTTGTGTTGTCCTCCGTTTTTTTTTTTTTTTTGAACGTCAGTGTTAGTGGTGCTTGTGCGGCACAGCGCTG